CAGAGTCATGGCCAATGCGGAACAACATGCTGCCAGGTGGCATGTGGCATGTTAGGGTTTGTGTGCATTAGTGAGTGTTTTGTGTGTAAGAGCAAGAGCTTAATATATCTGTGTGAATGCGTGGGAGGCAGGGAAGCAGCAGAGAAGCACCTGCAGCTATATGGGAACCCAGGGATTTCCACCTCAGGCATCAGGATTGCTGCCTATCAGACACGCACGCACCTCTATGCACACCACCTTGCCTACGCTTGTTGTCACTCGTCTTGACTCCCTCCTGAACACACGGTCCAACCTTCGCACTCTCATTTTAACACACACACACTTGGCAGCCCCCAAGCGTATACAGAGAACCAAAGGACAGGTTGGACTGAACGCTCCAGCCCAGCCAGAAGATAGAGATGGGTTAAGTGGTGGAGAGCCTGATGGTAAGAGGATGAATACTGATCCAGACTGCAGAGGTGGCTACTGTAGCATAAGCTGCTGATTACAGGAAAGGAGAACAGAGAAGTGGAAAGCAGACTGGAAGATAGGATGGGACTGTGGAGAAGAATACATTTAAAAATACAAGGTGAGCTTAGACAATGGAAGGAAGAGACAAGGACAGTCAAGGAGGGAGGAGTAATGAGGTAGGATGGACAAAGGTATCATTTGTAGGCTGGGAACAAGGAGTCAAAGATTGTGAGAAAATGAGAATAGGAACAATGGAAGCTAAGGGTGGGAGGCAGTTGACAGCGAAAGGAAGAAGAAAGAAGAGTAGACAGGATTGCTGAAGGCTTCCCTCACATCACACAGGCCCCTTAAGAATCCCTCTCAGACGGAGAATCTGAAGTGTTGCAATTGTGTTACTCAGTCTGAGAAGTTTGAGCTCATACCAGAGCAGAAGTCTGCTAGGGATGGAAACAACTTTTTAAACCCCATTCATTGTTCGATAGCTGAAGGCAGCCTTGATTTGCATTCTTCAAATTATGCCACTGGAAGAGATGAGGAATGCTTGATGTGAGTGAGCGAGCATTTAATTTTTCATTTAAAGCTTTGCAAATGGATTCTCTGCTTCTTTCAATCAAGTAAAAACATAGATGAGCTGGGTAAACGGTGGTTAAGTTGGAAATCCAGTATATCCTAGTATTAAGGGATTATTTGTTTCCTTACTTCACAAATTAACAAAAGAACCTATCTATGTTATTATTCCTAGCCACATGAGATACCTAGCATGAATTTTGGACAAGACATTCAGTTTTTCCTTTCACTGAATCAGCTCCTGTGAGAGTTAGGGTGTATTCACACCTGTAGTTTGATGCATTTGTACTTTTTCTTTAAAGGACCAGTGTGTAGGATTTAGTGACATCTAGCGGTGAAGTTGCAGATTGCAACTAACTGAACACTGCTCACGTCTGTATTTGGCGATCTGGGACTGCAAAGTGTATTGGAGATTCTGGTGGCCTTGTAAAATGGGAAAAGGACCCATCTACAGCCAGGTCTGGTTTGTCCATTCTGGGCTATTGTAGAAACATGGCAGTTTAACATGGCGGACTCCATGGAAGGCGACCCGTGCCATCAAGTAACAAAAACACAAGGACTCCTATATTCAGGTGATTATACACTAATGAAGACATACCTGTGAATATTATATTCCATTTCTGCAAACAGATACTCCTAAATTTTACACACTGGACCTTTAAGGTGTGACAGGCTGTGATCCCATGTCAGTTATTAAGCCTGTAGCATACCACTAACCCTCGTAGATGCCGGTCCAGGAAAAGGAGTAACCAGAGGTCACACCTAATAATTCATGCAACGTATCATGAGGTTTGGAATAATGTGGATAAATATACAAACACACAACCGTTATTAGTATGTTTGTGACATGTCCCCTGTCATCCACCCATTAATAGAATTGTCCTGCAGCACAGACAAAACCAGCCAGACTCCATCTTGTCTGACCAGGATCAATGCCATGAGTGCAAATTACAATGATCCTTCATGTCTCCTGCCTTTCATGTATCACTGCTTTTACATTAAGGATAACATAGTGTAGTACGCTGTCTCTCTCTCTCGAGTTCTCTTCCTCTCTCATCATTGTGCAGAACTGTCAGGGGGCATGGTTGGCAAATCACAAATGAGCCCACTTATTGAATCCCCCTCTGACATTTATTTTGTACGACTCATAGCCTATCATTGAGGGTTTCTGTGTGTTTGCCCATGTCTGGGTGAATCCATGTGAAAGCAGTTTTTTGTATCCATGCTAATGTATACTATTCCTGACCTGCACTCTTTAGGAATTACGTCTTAATGGCACGATAAATCAATCTGGATTAATAGATACAATGCAAATGCAGCTGAGTGGAACAGATGGGGCTCAGTGCAATGCGTTGTGTGTAACTGTGTGCATGTGTTTGCGTGTGCAGCTCTGGCAGAGGCAATTCATGTGACCTTGATAGTGGCAAGCAAAAAACAGTCTGCATTGTGGACAGTTCTGAAGCACATACAGTGCAAATCATGTTTTATTGTTTTACAACACTGAATCAAAGGGGGATTTTAAGTGGGTTTTTCATTAGACTGATCAAAAACGCTGAGTGGATGCTTCTCTACAGCAGGTCCTAGAAGGCTTGTGAGGGTAAATAAATCCAGCAAAATACAAGAAGATTGTGAAAAAAAATCTGATAGAGTCGACAAGAAATTTCTGTAAGATTTGTTTTTCAGCAGGAAAACGACACCAAGCATGAAGCCAAAGCTACATACTAATGACTTCAAAACAACAACATCGATGTCCTAAAGAGTCTAGATCTCACTCCAGTCAAGAATATGTGGCTGGATTTGCAGGTTTGCCAAGAGGAATGGGGAAAGACTTTAGTATTTAGTATTTAATATTTTAGATCTTTTACCATTGGTTAACATTAAAGGGTCTATTATCTGTTGGTTGGTGTCGGAACGGCACATTACATCTACTGTAAGTAGTAATCTGTCGATGCTGGAATACATACATGCATACAAACACTAAACAGAGTCCTACAGATGTCACCACTGTAGTCCAAAGTTTTAACTAATACTCATTAAAGGTTCCAGTGCGTAACATTTAGGAGGCTCTATTGTCAGAGGTAATATTCATAGGTATGTTTTCATTAGTGTATATTCACTTGAAAATAAGAATCGTTGTGTTTTTGTTACTTCAGAATAAGCTGTTTTTACCTACAGACACTGCTGGTTGCCTTCCATGGAGTCCGCCATGTTGAACCGCTATGTTTCTACAGTAGCCCAGAAGAGCCAAACGACAAAACACTGGCTATACAATGGGGTCTTTTGCGTTGTTTGCAAGTTTTGCGGCCGATATAATTTCTCCTACACACTTCACAGCCTTTCATTCCCCCATTAATGAATGTCTTCAAATGGCGTCTTGTGTCTGACCAACAGCCCCAAACACCAAATTTCCGTCAGTTTATTATCACAGGAAAGATTTGGTATGTTTACTTAAAATATGGCTTGAACAATTAATCAGTTATGAAAATAGCTGTTGATTAATTTTTTGTCAGTTGAATAATTGATAAGTCAACAAATCAGTTCAGCTCTAAATTCTCTTTTAGGGAATAAACAGGCTGAATAGAAATGTAATGGCACTAACTCTGCATGACACAACAACATATCTCCAAGAAAGCAGATTCAAACTTATCAATGCTTATTAGTGAGAGGCTATAAGGCTGTGATTTACAACCGCTAATGTCTTTCTGTCTTTGCTTTTGTTTTGCCCCCCCCCATATGTTCCTCTCAGTGTAACATCTTCCAGCTTCTGTCTTAATGGGGAACAGGCTGTTCTAGTCAGTACAATCAAACCTGGATCGTAGGTGTTTTTTGTTTTTTTTTATGTGACAATGTGAAAGTGCTGACATTTGCCTCAAAGTCAGTGATATGCCTTTGGAGTTGGCATTTTGCTTGTTTTAAATGTGTTTACAATGTCACCACGCTCTCCTGGCACCTGCGAAATCGCTACCTCAGCTGAACCTAAAAACAAATGCATTTTAAAGAACACTCAACTCATTCCACATTCAAAGTGTGGAAACACAAGGGGCCATAAAACAGAGCGCTGAAACCTCACCGGAACAGGCAACAACCTACAGAACCAAAATGTTGAGTGCATAATTTAACCAAACTTCTGTTCCGCTACAAGTCATCCAAAAACACTTTCCTCCCACCGAGTAGTGACAGTCTACCCTGGTGCAAAATTAACAAACCGGCACTGTTGATGCCAGCCTGGGTCCTCGAAATCAATATCCATCAAGCATGCGATTGATTTAACGGAGCAACAACCAAGTGAATAATGTGAAAATACAGGAGGACCTTGAATTACCTGTCAGAAAATTAAGCCGCAGCTTGTCAGCGGATGTGAAGTTAATCAAAGGCAAATAATGTGAAATCCAGCACAGTCTGTTATACGTTTTACATTATTTTTTGAAGGCTGCTCCATATTATTTTTTATTGAATTATGTATTTTTATGTATTTCTTCAATAGCTTCTGTAGAAAATGTTTCCAGAATTTCAGCTGACCCCCTTACTCGGGTGATAACAGGCTATGGCATTACATCTGATGGCCCTTGAGGATGTCACATTGTTTTCTGGCCAAACACGTATTGCTATATTTAGACAAGAAAATCTGCCAGAGTACACAGCGAAAATTTCCATCTTATTAGGGTCAGTGAATGCAATATTGAGCATTTTATGTGTGTTTCATGAGACAGGAGATGAAGCCCAAACAGCAGGGTGAAATAAAGTCACTGTGCTGTTTTTAACATTTCAAGAAAAGGTCATGCTGAAAAAGGCAAATAAAAAAAAAAAACTGTAATAAAGATAAAAATCCAGATGCTGATTTGTATTAAGCGCCTATTATAGGAAGATTCTTGCTTGCTTTATTTAAAAAAATCTAATTCTTAGAGTCCTCAAAATGTACTGTAAATCTGTCTTAAGATGGAGATTGTTGTTTTTGCATTGCACACAGCATGAAAGCTACTTACTCCGCTTTCCTGGCCAATCCAACTGAGCGGCAGAGAGCAGTGGGAGTCTGCGGAACCAGGGACTTGCAGCAGGGGCTCCTCTTGTCCTCCTCAGCGGAGTCTGGGCTGGCTTGGCTCGCTTTGGGTGACTGCGGCGAGGTGGGGACGAGCTGCAGCTGCTGCGGGTGGTGGGAGGACGGCGCAGGAGGGGTCGGGTGCTGCTGAGGCTGGGCCGATAGACCGGGAATCTGCTGCTGCTGCTGCTGCTGCTGTTGCGGCGGCGGCTGCTGCTGCTGCTGCGCCTGCTGGCCGAGGTGAGCCGCAGCTTTGTTGCTCCCCGGGTGCTGATGGAGGTGGGCCGGCGCCTGGGGACTGGCGCTGCGGTGAGTCGGGTGGTGGTGGTGGTGGTGGTGATGTTGAGGGGGCTGCTGGACGTAGAGATGGGGGTCCCGCAACTGTCGGTTCTCTCCTATCAGGTCCTCCACCTTTCGCTCGAGTTCGTCGATGCGTTGGCGCTGCGTCTGGATCAGACTTTGCTGGTTCTGGACGATAGTGGTGAGCTCCTTCAGGTAAAGAACGGCTTTCATTGGATTATCCAGCAGGCTCTCCATTACTGACTGTAGCTGTGGCCGTGTGCCCGGCTGTGTTGACTTGTTCTTCAGCTGTTTCTGGCGCTGCACACCGTCGATGAGGCCTCTGAACAGTGCGTAACCGGGATGCTCTGGCGGCTGTCTGACGCCTCTACGCTCTGCTGGGGTTGGGTAGTCTCTCTCTCTCTCTCTCTCTCTCTCTCTCTCTCTCTCTCTCTCTCTCTCTCTCTCTCTCTCTCTCTCTCGATACTCTGTGAGGATACCAGAAATGGTGCTGATGCAAGGGGAGGGGGGAAATCAGCATCAGCGGAGTGCGGAGGCGGAGCCGTAGTGACCGCTGATGTCAACACGCTTTCACGTTTCACATGTAAATCCACAGTCGTCGTTGCAGCCTCTCTTCCCCTGGAAGCAAAATAATTCTTAGAGAAAAATAATCCCTTTAAGACTTTATTTGCCCTTAAAAGTAGGTTTTTGTCCACTTTCTAAACAGCTAATGAATGTTCACATTTTTCCAGCCTAGATCAGATTACAATTTGTTTTATGGTTGCTGATGAGTGAGGTAAATCTGCCAGCCATCTGCATATTTTACCAGCATTTGTTTTGTGCCCTGATCCTCACTCTATGCAGCTGAACTAAACTGCATGCCACGGTCACTCTTCCGTATTTTAAGATGTCAACTTGGAGCATAAAGTAATCCTACAGGGCTAACCCAGTCCATGGATTCATTCCACCTGGCTTGAGGGGGCCCTGTAATACATGCAAGAAGACAAAACACAAGCAAATGGGGAAAACCTCTTAACCAATCTGACAGCACATGCGCAGAATTTATAAAAAAGAAACACTGCAAAATGAGGAAACACTATCAAACACAGAAAAGACAACCAGATACAGAAATGCTGCAAGTCTTACAGAACACGACAGAAAACAGCCAGAGACACTAAGAATGGGCGAATGTCCCAATACACCAGGGACACATTATTGCTTGTCACACTGATATTTTTTTCTGATTACTCGCTTGACAATTCAAATCTGAATCAAAAAGTTTAAACTAAACATTCAAGTATTTGGTTCTGTTTTGTGTATTTGGTTGCGTTTTCTCACTATGCAGCATTTCTTTTCTCAATGCTGCACATGTTGTCAAACTGATGTTTTCTTTATTTGCTTGTGTTTTCTTAAGTTGCAGTGCTCTCAAGGCCACCATACACCACATTGCAGTGCCTGACATTGTTTGAAACAATACCTCTCCATTAAATCCATATGGTCTTTTCCAAAAATCTGGTGAAATTCACTTCTGGTGTTCATGATGTGACTTCAGCATGTGAATCTAACAAGATAAAGCCCAGGAAGACCCTGTTCTCCATGTGAATGTGTGATGTGATTAGAATTGCTTGTGGTGCTCTTTTTTGTCACACAGCAGCCTTTGTGTGTCGGATGGTAACTCTTTTTTTTTGGGATGTTGCCCTGCAGGGTTGGAAGAGAAAGGCGTGGTGGAGAATGTAATAGCTTTCTTCTAATGCTGCTCACTTAGCAGCACAGTGCGAAAATGATTTGATGAAATTTGGACATTTTTTACTCAGAAGATGTAGGTTTTCTTTAGCATATTCACATTCGCCATTTTCTTTCGGTATGCTAACAAATCAGTGTTTAAGTTTGGGGGAAAAAACTCCACTCTGCTCCTGCTATGGTGAGATAGCAGTATAACGTTTTGCAAATTGGATCAGGCGAAGGAGACTGCCTTTCAGTCTGCGCTTTGGTATCTCTGACTTTACCAAAAGGGAAATAAAAAGCAAGTCAACCAGACAGATAGCATGCATGCAGAGCAAGGAAAGGAAATGGGTTTTAGGTTTGCAGAGATGATCCCTCCTGATACAGACTTAAAGTGATATCTCACTAAGAGAGTGCTCTGCTGTTCAGGTCGCTGCAGTGAGATGCTTGTCAGTTGTTGCATGGAGATTATGAATTAATTTATATTCCTGATTAGTCTATTGTCAAATGAGTTGTGTTTTTACTTTTAACAGGCCTTTGTCTTTGTGTTTGGAAGAATGTTTTATACTGACAAGATGATCTAAAAGGAAAACGTATGTCAAAATCTTAACTGTTTATTCATGGTCTGTGTCCACATTCAGCATGAGTAAATTACTGTTAATTAGTGTCAGAGTCTAATGACAGTCTGCCAAATCCATCCAGATCAGGAGTGACATTAATGATATGCTGTGATTAATGCTATTTTTAATGAGAACAGACAAAAAACTGAAATCGATTTGTATATTTATTTATTTTTTGACAGAGACATTGTTAAAAGTTTCATAAAACTTTTAAAAACAGCTCAGAGGAAATATAAATATCAAATGACCTTGAGACAGTGAAATATTAGGACCACAGTGGTGAGCCAGAGCGGGTGCAGCCAGGTCCTTCCTTCCATATGGCTGCTTTACAAGCTGCATGAAGTGAAAAATGGATTGCGCACCGGACCAGCGACACATGGCTGGACGGATACAAAAATGAGTTTCGCAGTGGGATTGTAAAAATGGAAAAGGTGCCAGCAGTGACTTTGGTGATTGGGTGACATCTGCAAGTTCCAGCCTTGCTTATTATGGACTCTCTGCTAGAAGAGGTGCAACCCACCTTTAACACCAATTACCTTACAGGGGAGTCTGAGGCCTGAGAGGGGGACACATCCTTGATCTGAAATTGCAAGGACAGGGCACAAAGTGTGATACGAATAATCAAGTTTTTTACTTCAGTTACCATGTATCTGGAGATGAGAAAACTTAAAGTTCCATTTAGTAAGAGTCATATGAGGCTGTACGTGGGCTTTGAGCTAAATGCTAATGTCAACCTGCTCACAGGCTCACCACAACAATCCTAACATGTTGATGTTAAGCAGGTATGTTTACCATGTTTACCATCTTAGTTTGGCATGTTTAGCATGAAACACAAAGTTCAGCTGAGGCTGACTGGAATCTCATTAGTTTTGCAGGTACTGTGTTTGGTGATGCTTGTATCAAATGAAATGACATCAAACAGGTTTTGAGATATTTCACTAAAATCCCCAAATTAAAACCTTCTATAGAGCCAGGGTCATGGGATTAACAAAGTCAGTATTCATCTTCTGCGAACCATGAATCTCTGTACTAAATTTAATGCCAATCTAGCCAATAGTTCCAATAGATATATTATAGTCTGGACCAAAGTAGTGGACGACTGACATTGCCATCCCTAGAACCATGCTGCTAGCATGGCTACAAAAGCTGAAAACCTAAGGTAAAAACATTTATCACATTTTAAAACCTGTAAAACCTTAGAGGGATCACTGATATTCAAATTCCTCCCTCCTGATAGAGAGAAGTTTGAAAGTTGGTTGGCAGTGTTCAACTTTTGCCCCATCTTCGAATCCTCCTCCAGAACTTTTAATTTCAAAACTGTGTTATATCAATATAGGCTTACTCCCCAGAGTGCTGTTGTATCTCAGGCTTGTTGCTAAGTTGAAAGTAGACCAGCTCTCTCATTATTCAGCCGTGTTTGATGCAGAGTCTAACACGTACAGACTGACTGCACTATTGTGAACCCAAAGAAACACAAAGTTGCCTTAAGAAACAATGAGTGTCTGGAACAAACAAGGACTCCTGCCTTTGATTTGAATAGCCATGGCACCTACAGTACATATATATTTGAAAGGTTTTTTTCCATTTAAAGTGATAGCTCTCAATCATTATATCACTACAGCATTCAGAGTGATTTCTCACTTTTCCCCAATATTCAGATTAAGCAATAAAAGAAAACTGCTCTATTCTTTGGCTCTTTTGGGGGCAGCGCTTCTCATTAATATTGATAAATGGCTTGTTGCATGCACCCAACTTGACTCAGAATATGAGAGATTTTATGCCCTAAAATTACTTGTTGGTTATGGATGTTTTATGTGTCATCACTATCCCTTTGGCATGAAAGGTTTTAGAAAAAAAAACACAATAAAAAGGGAAAGATTTATCAAAATGAAGCTGTCTTTGTCATCTTTTTCTTATGAATGATGCCCACGAAGTTGAGCAAGTTCACATGGTAAAAAGCTGATGGAGAAGGGAAAGTTAAAACCTGATGTGAAGGAGAAATGAATCAAACGCTTTTCCAAGGACTTTGGAACATTAAGAGATGTGATAAGAGCCGACGACACGATAAAGCAATTAATGTCAGGTAGAGATTAATTACTTGCAATGCTACAGTTCATTAGTGACACTCTGCAGCAGTACCAGTCAAGATGAGCAAGTCAGCAAGTTATTGACACCATGAGCATCTGGTAAGAACAGCACTTTATGATTTAGCCAAGTGGCAACAATGACTGTTTAGTATTTACACAGCATATGTCTTAATATAGAAATTAAAGTGTTTTTAATTCCATTATGAATATCATTATGGGACAATTTTTGGCTCTAAAGGTCATCTTTTAATGGAAACAAGAGTCTAGTGGCTGTGGGCTGTGAGGCTGTACAGCAGTGCTAAATGCAAATGTCAGCATGCAGGGATAATGTTTACCATGTTCACTATCTTACATTGGTTAAGTGTGTTAGTACAGTTGATGTTCATAGGAATGTCATTAGTTTTCCAAATACTGGTCATAAACCAAAGTATTGGACAAATAGAGATTTTTACCTGATGATGATGGAAAAGTCAGAAGATCATCAAAGTTATTAAGTTTCATCCTGAGGGAAATTTCATGACAATCCATCTAGTAGTTGTGAGGACATTTCACTCCTAATCAAAACTTCCAGTCTGTTGCTCATGGTGGATGAAAAGCTGGGAAAATCCAATACAAAACAAACAAAAAAACAATGGTTGTTACAATAAATCATCTGGGCACCATTTCTTACAAAATCTTCATGGAAATCCATCTAGAAGTTTTCAACACATTTCAGTCTGGACCAAAGCGACGAACCAACCAACCAACATTGCCATCCCTCGTGCTACACAGCTAAGGAGGCTAAAACTAACTTTAAATTGATCTAGAAGGGCTTCAAGATCTCTAATTTCAATTTAAATATTTAATCCAGTAAGAGTAAGAGAGGCCAACCCTGAATGTTGAGAATACTGCAGACACTTTTCATGAAGTACACTGCTGAGGTGAGTCCAGGTAATAGTCATTATTCTTCATTGATTTTCCCACAGAGGAGGAGATGGAGATAAAAGAGAAGCAGAGTAACTGAGTGTTAGACTTTGATACCAGTGAGATGTGGGTTATGAAAAAGGGGCTGCAACTAAGGATGCCTCTAATATTTTGAGCATTACTCAACAGTGTCCGAGGTATTCTTAAAACTACAACGACATTTTGGACATTTTGCCAACAACAGCTTAATGTCCTGTACCTACAACATCTTCCATGGTGGTACATTCCAACATCATTGTTAATAATTTACTTAGACAGGCTGTTAACACAGTCACTCCAGGGAGACCTGAGGCGACATAGTATCAGCTGAGCAAGTTTCTGCATGTACAGGGTTTTGATTCCAAGATTTAGTTTCCCCAGACATTACCAGTAGTTTGCCATCTTGTCCATAACCTGCAGACTTTGGGACAGGATGGAGCATCCATATTTGTTTGCAGCCCTTTCGAAAGCTTCCACTTGATTAAAGCAAGGGGGAATTGTTAATGGCTGCATCTTGTTGACCTCTCACCTGCTTTGGTGTCCAAAACCAATACCCATCAGCCCCCCCCCCATCCCTTCCTATTGGCTCAGAGGAAATCAATAATGAGAAGGGAGCCAGGCCAACGGCACCTATTGTAGATTAACTTTACCATTAGAGATGATGGGTGTAAAAGTGTGGATGGTGCAGTGTTGGGGTCAAGATGCGCATTGGCTGCAGCTCATATCGACTCACTTTCCTTCTTCCTCTTTGTAGATTCCCTCTAGCATTGTTCGGCGAGCTGAATATACTGTATAAGGGGAACAAAGAAAGACCAAAGCCTGTCACAGGTGGGCGGGACGAGGCCTGACCTGCTGTGAACCACCACTGAAGCTGATGAAACAGCCCTGAAACAGCTTTTATGTGTGAGAAACACACACAAACACAGAAAATGTGGAAAGAGAACTCACTCTAGTCCACTTAATATATCACATTTTAACTCATAAAATGTTCGACCTCAGTCAAGTTTAAAGGTTGACTGAGTGTGTTTACTTAAAGCAGCGCTAATCAATTAACCTTGTGAGGAAGTTGCACTCGCAAGATCACGTGAGAATCTAGCTCACCATGCTGCAAAGATCTATCAACGTCCTATGAGGAACAACTGGCAGCTACAGCGTGAGTTAATGCTATGTGGTTGAGTCAGAAGTCCACCCACCTAGAGCCGGGGTCTGTCCGAGGTTTCTCCCTCTTAAAAGGACGTTTTTCCTTGCCGCCGTCGCCAAATGCTTGCTCATGGTGGGAACTGTTGGGTACGGTCTAGACCGGCTCTACTTGAAAAGTCTACTTGAAATTGTATCAGAACTGGACAGTATTGCTTCATTGAGAAATTAGTGAAGGACGGCATTGAAGGCTTTTATTGATGGAAAAGATGTCTTCACTCTTCTCCCGACTGGCTTCAGTCAGAGTTTGACAATGTCATACGGTTCGTTGATCTGATTGGTTGAAGTTCGCCTGCGATAGATGGTGATAGACAGATGTTTTTACAAGTTACATAATATTGACGCCCAATATTATTCATAACTTTCAGTCTGTTGCCATGCTACACGTAACTTTAGAAGCCATTATAATATATATATTTAAATATGAGGGGCATCACTAATAATACAGAGAGCTCAACTAGAATACAAAAGATTAAATGAGTCTGGTTCATTAGGAAACTTGTAGTTTCAGTTCAAGAAAGGCGAAGTTAACCCTCAACCTTTTAGTTGGGTCAAATGGATTAGCAATGAATAACAAATATGTGTCATCTTTGTTTTGTTTCCAGTCATTTCTATTTGCAGCTTGTGAATATTTCATTGAGACTGAAAAGAGATGCACATCTCACTCCAAATCCAATTAACACTTTTTGACTGAGGGGAGCATATTGCATATTATATGTGTGGGTTTCTTTCCGTTTAAACCCTCGAATCCACCAGTCTAATGCTGTTTTTAAAGCTCCTTTTCTGTGTCATTACCTCCAAATATAGACGAACATTTAGAAAAGAAACAGGATTTGCCTCAAGCTGCTTATTTGACACATCACCACAGAAAGCTGTAAATACATACCGTACATTCGCTAGTTAGTTCAGCACAAGCCCAGAGGTCACAGAAATGGGCTTGTAACATAAGGGCGCCAGTTTGCAGCCCCAAACCAACAGGGGAATGTGAAAGTGGAGAAGTAAATGAATACATTTCTCCCCTGCCTTCTTGGAAAACAATGTATTTGTAGAAGTTATACCTGTTCCACTACACCCCTTCTCCTCAAACTACAAAATGAAAAAGGCTTCATGAGCTCATTTATAAAAATGACAAAACAGGTTGGACAGGTTCTGAGTACTGTATAACAAAAACGTCACTGAGGTCCAACTTGTATATAACTGCACTCCAGTATCATCTACAGAAGCTCCTTGTCCAGATTGTCTCATGTTCTTATAACAGAAAGAGAATCATGGTCATTTGGGTGCATGAAAAGGCCATAACCCTTAACATTAAAGACAATGATAGGGTTTTTAAAATTGACTGACATCATTTCATAAAATCCCAGCCAAATTGTAAGAAAGGCAAACGTTCAACAATGCAAATGTGTTTAAGGATAAATGCATAACAAAGCACAACAATATGATATTGATAAACCTTCCTTCCCACCGTTGCCAATCACCTGATTATCCACCTGGCTGCACACACACCTAATTCCCTCATTAGCCCAAGTGTATGTATACCAGTCACTTCCTGTTTCCTGAATAGTACCATCCATAGTGGTCCAGTAATGTCCACCTTCTGCCAGATTCTTTAGCCTGTTCAATATTTGCTACAGGAGCTTTAAAAGCTGCTACTTGTCTGTGACTAGCCTGCCCTGTTCTTTGAGTTGTTTGTCTGATTCAGTCAGCCTCCAAGTCGGGGACTATAATCTTTATTATTGACCACAGCTTCTAGAAAAGTACCTTTTATTGTGTGTCAACCCCTGAATTTCTGCATTTGGTTATTCATCCCTGTTGCCAGGTACCTGAACCGTGACAGAATGATGATAATGTTGATAATTGTGAATTTGGTTCACTATCACTACCTGCAGACTTATCCTGACTCTAGCTCCATTTACACTTCATCTCACTGAACGAAATTTGACAAGTCACATGACCGCTTGTGTACACAACATTAGCTGCTGCAAGAGCTGAGCCTGGAGCTCCCAGTCACAGGGCAGTCTGCCTAATCACCGGACCACCCTCTGTTACTGTCAAATATATTCCAATATTGTCAACCCCCCCAGTCCCTGCAGCAATAAATACACTGCTCGTGCTGCATGTAGAAGATTAATGACATCAATCACACTTCCTCATCAGACCACACACACATACACACTGCAAACGCTGTAATCTGCTTCGGTGTTTTCTTCGCAGACTAACACTCATTTTTCTTTTCCTTTGGGTTATTCCATGAGTGAAATGAACTGGTGCTGTTTAGAGACACAGCGGTAATTATTTATTGTCAGGCTTCACTTCTTACATCTTACAACTTTTGGAAATGTGACTTATTTTCTTCTTCAAGAGAGAAGAGTCAGTTTTAAAACATGAATGAATGGAGTTTCTTTAAGTTTAGCCTAGTCAAGTAGATGCAGAGTGAGAACTGAGAACTTCTGCTTAGACCTAGAAAGTGGATAGACTGCACAAGTTTTGTTGTTGTTGTTTTTTTTCGCTCTCAAACAGGCAGTAATTGACTCAACTTTCTTCATGCAAATATTCTACAGGCCTAGTCATAAAATTTAAGGTTTTTCCACTAGGGTTGTTTTTAAGATAAAGACATTGTTTTTTCGACTTCACCAACTTTTTTTCTACAAAAACAAAATATACAAAGTCATAATCTTTGAATTTTTATTTTATAAGATTAACTACAATTGTCTATCATAAAATATTTTGATTTCCTTTCAGATACTTCAGTTTTTGTTAAAAATATACATGAGAATTGTACAAGAGTCAGAGAATTGAAATGGCTTTAAAACTGAAGACAAATCAGTTTTCTTGTATTTTATCCAATACATCCACTTACCTTTTATTACTCTGATTGTGGACTGCCACCAAGTGGCAATGACAGTAAAGCACAGTGACCACAGTGTGTTGCATCCCATAAACAATACTGTTTGTTCAAGTTTTGACACATGAAGCCACCCTTGAATGTGTTTGTCACCTAAACAAGTTTCATTCCGAGTCATGACCTTTATCGTATTTAACAGTTGCCATGTGGCGTTGACATGAATGAACTCTGGAAAGCACATCTGGAACATTTGTTCTGTTTGAAGGTCACTCTCATTAGTGCCTATTTATAGACACAGAGTGTGTATGAAGACCTGGGTTGCTTTTCATTATCAGCTTGCTATGCCTGAGTGCAAGAGGTTAAACACATACCACGCGCGCACATACATACAGTGGTGGCTGGGACAAACTAAGAAGGATATGACTTTTCCCAATCATCAGAAGGTTATCCTGCATACTGTGTGAGTGAGTATGTGTATAAGTGGACTTTGACATGTGTGAAAGATGTGTATCAGCTGTTTAAAGACACCTTTCCGTCACCAGCCCATAAAAGCATACAATACGCCGACTGATGTGTGCTTCCATGGATCTTAAAGCTATTGTTGGCCGTCATACTTGAAATAACAACGGCTGGGCGACAACAGCCAGTCAACCCACTGACACACACAGAAGAAGCACATGCATGCATGCAATGTGTAGGACAACAATGCCAGCGGGTTTTGCCTTCCAGCTCAAGTTTTGCTTCCAAAGGCTAGAAACTATGTAGAGGACAATCATCATGGCTAAAAATATTCGGCCCAGGTGTTCCAGAGTCTTTCAGCATCTGCTGGAAAGTCTCCTGTGGTTTATTTCTAACATCAAACTCTGAATATATAACTTATCAAAAAGTAGCTGTACTGAACTACAAAGTAAATCTGCCTTTTTTTATTATTATTTCTGAATGAAAAATAAACACTGTTATTACTAGATTTGAGTCCAATTTTGTTTTGACTTTAATTAGCTCATTACATATTTGTTCCACATTTCTGAAGGTTTATTTCTATTATGCAAATATTGTTACAATCTTGTAAAATAAACTTGCAATTTCAATTTATTTTATGATGTGTCTGCAAGATCTATTTAAACATTACGAGGCTGACTTTAGGTAGGTAACAGCTGTTGTGCCCCCTCTCATCTTCCTTTTTTAATCCATCATGAGTTAAGCTGCTTTCCATTCTCTTACATGCCGCACATAAACCGGCGGCTGCCAGTAAAATGAAACATGATAAAGTCAAGTACGGATATGGAGCATCAAAGACCGAAGCACTGTCTCTTTATTCGTATCTGCTTTAATTGTCTAAATATGTCATAGCAAAACAAAGGTACGTTGGTAATAAAAAAACAATGGGTCTCTACTCATCCTACACTTTGAGTGCTTAGAGTCAATGCACAGAAAATGGCCATCAAGCAAATGGAGCTGATGTACTAAGGGTTATACATGCTTGTACTTAATTCCTACAGCTTCCAAGTTATTTAGCCTCCAGATAAGTATTCCATATTTCTGTCTAGACAATATCCTCTTTCCTGCTCTTCGTTGACCAACTTCATCATTTGCAGTGCTCCTCACTGTCCTCCGCCGCCTGTATCGAACATCTTCTTGCGGCCCTCCATGCCTGACATGGCCTCCACATTCTTACGCCAGTCGCCCACTTCACTAGTGAGCACCTGGGAATGAACAGAAAAATGTAAAATATAAATGAAAACACATGTATCTCTCCAATAACAACCACATTTTCTGCATGCATGGGAAAACCTCAAGAAGTCTGGAGTTTAGACTAAATATTGATACCTTGTCTGTTTTGACATCCTCCTTCTTCACAGACTTCAGGTTGGCTCTGAGATCCATCGAGCCCTTGTGTTTGGAGCCCAGGAGAGCTCTCATCATCTCATCTGCTGACACCCTCACCTTCCTCAGGGCAGGCTTTTTGAACTTGCCTCCAAGGTCCTGTACCTTCAGCTTCAGCTCGTGGATCTAAAAAATACCACAGAAAATATATGAAACAAACACAAATGCTTCTGGGATGTTCTGACCTTTACTTATCAAGCCTATAAATATGCTAAGATTGAAGCATTGAATATTTTCAAGATTGTTTAGCTGGAGTATGGGCATACAGTATGTTCTGGTAGGTTCTTTGAAGTGCAGTGGTTTGTGTTGGTAGAAAAGTTCAAGCAATAAAGGTTTTATTCTCCAGGTTGCAATTTCTGGTTTCAAGCCAAAGAAGGAAACTTTTTTTTCATTTTAAAATATTGACTGTGCAAGATAATAAGAAGAATATGTGGTAGGTGCTGGAGGGTGTTCAGAGACTTACATCTTTGTTGTGCTTGTTAACTTTGGATTCACAGTCATATCTTTCTTCATCCACAACATCAATTTTTGAATGAAGCTGTTTGCATATTTTCTGAAGGGGAAAAGAAGGGTTTTTAAACATATTACCTATACATTTTCTGCAGGAGAAAAATCTATTCTTCTGCACTTAAAACCCTTACTTGTAGCTCATCCATTGATAATCCAGACAGTTGCAAAGGGGGCAACTTTTCTGCTATATAGCGCACTTTTTCTTCCTCCCTCTCCTGCTTCTCCCTCTCCAAATCCTCACAGGCTCTTGTGAGGAGAAGCATCTGATTGGACAAAACATATACCAATCAAAACTGGGCAAGGAAATCAGAGTGAATTTACATCATCATATAGCAAAAAGTCGTGGTTGTTATCTATAAAGTATCACAAAATATTTTATAGCAATGAATCCCAACCAGGGGTACGTCATTTGAAAAAAGTTAAGTTTTTCTAACATCTCAACAGCAGTTGACAGTGTGTGTAAGCAGGCAGAGGTCTAAAAGTAATGGAATGGTTTGTCCACCTTCTGCCACTCCAAGGAGTATCACAAATGGCCTAATGGACAAACTTGACAAACAGTTTCACATAATAAATATTGATAAATAATTAAAATATCTTGTTTTTAATCAGCTCAAAATAACACGTTTGGAAAATGACGGATGGTGTTACGGGTACTTGAGTTCATATGACAGGGGTGTGAGGCGACATCAAACAAAAAAGGTATTACCATAACTACTCACCTTGAGGGAGAGCTTGCGGGAAGCCGAAATCTTCGACTTCGGCTGTGGAAAAAGGTATTTATCAATATTATTTGAAAATACAACAGACCATTATATATTTTTTAGAATGGTCACTGAGACTATTCAGACTTTTAAAGGCACACATATGGCAAAGATGGACAAAATTACAGTTACACCTTGCAATATAATATCATAAACCGCAGAACTTTTTAACTGCAATTGAAAATAAACTTCACATTCTTTTAGGGCTTGTATTTTGGAATTACACTGAAATGTTCCATCATTTATTATCCAGCAAAAATATGTATGGAAAGACCTGTGAGTATCAAACACAACAACACTTACTGCAGCCACATGTGAAAAGATAATGTTTTATTATTAGGATGAAGTCAAGGGGAAAGCTCTCAGAGATGCTGATAACAACTCTGACAGATAACCACTGCCGGATCTTTGCCATGCGCATAAGGACAATGTGTCCCCTCTCCATGCATGGAGGATTAACACTGTGGAATATAGCTGGCTCACCTTATCCCATTTGGCATTCATGGCTCCTGGTCTGTCAGGCTCCTGAAACCCCAAACAGGGACACATGAGGGTGATGATACAATAGGCAATTGTAATTAGGTTCATATAAGCGCATTAAAAAGAGATACTGTTTTATCTTTTTAAGAAGTGAATGCAGCTTCCTCTGTAATCACGAGCAGTCAATTACACAACTATGAATCATGACAGTAGTATACAGGGATAGAGGATTAACATGAATTTTCTTACCTCACTTCAGCTATAAGCCCAAAAACAAACACACGACAGAAACAGAGGTGTGTGTATTAGTACAGTTTAGGGGTAATGTGTCACCCGAATGAACTACAATGTAATCTGACCCATCAAGGCGCAACATAGCAAACAGTCCTCAGCATCCCCTTGACAAGAGGATTAAAGCAAGGACGTGACAAGAAAAATTCCCTCCGCTATATTCAGCATCATGTTAGGTTTGTTTGTTTTTGAGTACGACTGACACCTCAACAGATTTGTTAAAAAGCTCTCTATCTGACAACAGACTGAACCCTGACAGCTTCTCATTAAGCTAACATATTTCACATTTATAATTACTTAACATGTTAATATAAACTGCTAAAACATTTTCCTGTTGTCTGTAATACATTTTTTTAAATTCTTCTGACATAGAATTAAGACCTACATTTAAATAAATCTAGAAATACTATTTTCCTCTTTTTCTTTTTGACTTTCATTTACTTAAACTAGAAAGAAAATTACAAATAACTTTACAAAACACTCCAAAGAATAAAAAAAAACTAAATAAAACTAAAAGCCTTAAATACCTAGCACACAATAAACCAATGGTTGTTTTACCTGTGAATGGGTGTCTGCAGAGTCAAACAGCGGCTGCTGAGGACAATGGGCAGCTTTTTATGTGAGCAGTGTGGCGCGTGGACAGCAGATATAACGTCTGGTCCCAAGAATGTGCTGGCATTGGCCCAAGCATTAAATATCACCTCCCCTGACTGCGACAACACCAGGAGTGTAATAATAAATCATGAGCTTTACTTGAATGGTATCATCCTGATATTTCCTCCTGTGTGAAAAAGAAAATATAATATGCATATAACAATATAATATAATATGCATATAACAATAACACATATTGACAACCACTGTATCTTTCCCATTTATCATTTCACAACAGGGAAAACTTCAAAACCTGGGAAAATATGCTAATTTCCTTTATGCCAAAAGTTGGTTAATATATAGCTGGAGCCAGCAGCTGCTTAGCTTAGCTTAGCTTAGCTTAGCTTAGCTTAGCATAAGGAAAACCTGGCTCTGTCTAAAGGTAACACAATCCTCCTACCAGCACTTTAAAGCTCATTAATGAAAACAGACTATTCCTTAGCCAGGACCAGTTGCTAGGCAACTAGCAGCGATTCCAAGAATCACTTAACAACTATCACAACATTTTTACACTTCGGTTTAGAACCAATAACTGGTCATTGGAGAGCTTTAGGTGTGCTGGTAGATGGATTTTGTGGACAGAGCTAGCTGGTTCCCCTTGTTTCCAGTCTTTGTGCTAAGCTAAGCTAACTGGCAACTCGCAGTAGCTTCACATGTAGCGCGCAAACATGACAGTCTCATCTAACTCTTGGCAAGAAAGTAAAATACATGTAAATTAAACATGAAGCGCAGCACAAGTGTCAGCCAGGAAGACTATGCCTCATTCATTCCCAATTATCTCACTCTCCTTAATCAGCTGACTGTGGGCGTTTACTCTTCAAATTAAACCAATCAGACTTTACCACAAAACTCCTCCAGCCAATCGTGTCGTTGCTGTCAAACTTTAAATCTGCTCTCCTCTCTTCCGCACTCCGCTTAGTGCGAAATCCACCCCATTAACCCCCTAATTCATCATATCAGTGCCCAGGTTGCGCTCAGAAGTCCACTCCTCATCCTACGGCATCACCAACCTTCAAACTTGTCGAAGGGGTCACGACCTTTCACATTTCTCATCTTTACTCGGCACATGTCAATTAAATATATTCGTTTAGCATCTCCGGATTGAAATGTAATCTGAGTGCAATAACGGAGGTAAGAGGAATAATGGCCCAAGAGTTAAAATAGCTAACTAATAATGCATTTGATGTGTACAATACACAGCCAAAGCCCTCACCAATAGCCAAAGCACACAATCATATACTAAGAATAGGTCAGCCCTCTCTCCCATTATACTGTAGACTGTTTTTTAACCAACATGAATTCACAGTAACACTGTCAACACACAATAACTAATAAGTCAAATTATGTATTATTCATTTTCTGGATGTTTCTGGGTATTTGGTCAAACGTGTCATCATGTACAAAGGTTAATCACATTCAGCAATGCAGTGACTGTTAGCTCTTGTCATTACCACTCTGATTTATCCAAGGGGAGAGTGCAGAGTGACATTATCAAGGTTAAATAACAGGAATTAGCTCCTATGACAGATCTATTCTAATCATAGTTATTATGATAAAAATACTGGTTGGTGGGATTATGTGGCACCCCAAAATAACAAGAGGTTGTTCCAGTTTTGCCACACTGGCTCTGAGTTCATCGGAAGAGGAGTAGATGGAATAGCAGGTTTAAATAGCAGTTACAGTGAAGACCTACAATTTATTATCTCAACAGTCTTATTAAGAAGATTTAAAGCATGGCATGGAAGAAAGATGAAACACAGTTCTTTATTATGTACTGATCTGTTTATCAACGCTATGGCCTGTAATTCTCTGCAGATGTCCAGGCAGTGACTAATAAACAGAGTCCTTTAAATAATTGTACTTGCGGGAAAGATCTGCAGAAAGCTCAAGTTTTAAGTGTCACAGCTTATTTCTGTGATACCAATTGCATTGTTTTATTTGACAATGCCACAGTCATTAACGGTTTAAATAGGTCACACAAGTAAGAATTAGTAAGAACATGTTTGATTATTTCCTCAGTAGTGCTCATATGACTCAGTGTGAAATTATCTTTTTTTACAGCCCATTTCCGCTGTTTCATCCAGTATTTCATATTACGTACTTTTCCAAGACATTGAAAATATATTAGTTTCAGTTCAAGCAGGGAGATACTGCAGGTGGTAATCTTTTTTTTTCCTTGTGTACAAGGTAAAAAAACATTCAGCAAGGAAGAACATTTCATACACACGTCTGCCAAATAGAAAACACACTTAAGAGTAGTACAATAGCACAAACCAGTAACAATGTGGAAAGGCTTGCACTCCACATTTGTAAGAAACATGTTACCATACGCAGCAAAGACAACAACCCTGAGCAACAGATTTCAAAACTGTGTAGTTGCGAGATGTTTGTGTAAGCCAGCCATGTAACTGTAAAAAAAATACTCTAGATGCATAGATGTATGCAGGCCCATATACTTATTACGATACCCTTTGTAGACCTTTCTGATCAGGCTTAGTTGAGGAAAGAAACATCTACCTCTTACTTACTTCCTTCCTCCTGATTGGTCATCTCTCTTTGTCTGCATAGCCTGTTTAAGTCTCCCCAGCTTTTCCTCCAGCACAAACATTCGGTTGACATCTGTGGATTTAAGTGAAACGTCTTTATCTCCACAACTTTTGGATGGATTGCCATGAGATTTGGTGCACTCATTCGTGTCTCCCTCCCCTGCTAACATCAGGTCAGACTTTTCATTTGTCCAGTTCTTTATGACCAAATCATGTAATTCCCATCAGACGTCCTCAGCTGTACTTTGTGGTTATTGTGTGTTTATGCTAAACTTAGATGGTGAGCATGGTAATCATAATACATCCATGTTAACATTGTCATTGTGAGAATGTTGGCATGCTGACAGTAGCATTTAGTTCAAAGCACTGCTGCTCACAGAGCTGCTGAGTGAGTGGCAGTAGACTGTGCTTTCAATATGATAGTAGAGCATTCAATTCATTCATTGATTTGCCTATCAAAAGGTCTGTGTTTGCTCTGACCTCTGACCTGTCGACATGTCTGTCCTGTTACGTGTTTGTTTTTGTCTTTACATCTGCTGTCAACAATTCCTTGGCCTGACTTTATCAAGATTTCAGGGCATGCATGCTAATCTCGGCCTGAGCTCTGACACTTCTTGCAAATCACTTAACCCACGAGCATCAAGTTTCTCTTCTTTCCACTGGCTTACACTGGAATAAAGCTGATGCAAGTGCTAAGGTGTTTTTGGTCAACCAAGCATTAGCTACAAGGGCATCTTTGGAAGATACGCATAAAACAGGGAAGAGTCTATGCTGAACCTTTGGCTCTCAGTGAGCTGTGAGGGCTTCTTGGAGATTAGGAAAGGCCAATGCATGTTTTATTGATTTCAAGAGAGGCCTTTGATTCCATCGGGCATGAGGGCCTTTTTACAGGCTACTAAACAGTGGCATTGGGGGGAAAACATATGATGTAATTAAATCTATGTACACAAATACTAAATGTGCTGTTAAAATGGGACAGAAACAAAGAGCCTTCTTTTCCCAGGGATGTGGGGTGAGGCAGGGGTGCAATTTCAGTCCAGTCCTCTTCAATTTATACATTAATGAATTTGCATGTCATTTAGATCACTCTCTGGCACCTGGTCTCACTCTGAATGATGCTGAAATTAAGGCAGATGACTTGGTGTTGCTTTTACAAAAGAAGGAGAAGAAGACACCTAACAATTATCTGACATCTCTGTCAAACACACTTGCAGTGAAGTCTGTGTTTTCTAATATTTTCTTGATTTTATGAATTCCAGTGTTTTTTCCTTTTTCCTTTTTACTGTATAATTCCTTAATGCTTTGGCAATATTGTCTTTGTTACACACATACCAATAAAACAAATTGAATTAAATTGATTAGAAACCAGAAAATTAACGAGATGATTTGTCCACAACCGGAATAACACGTCTGATTCTTTCTGTCTATGATTTATCTGCCATTTTCACCTTGAATGTCTTATCTCCCCCATACAAACATATATGGTTGTATGTGTAAATTGGTTATAGGTGATAAACATACACATATAAACACATTATATTTGGTCCAAAGCAAAAATGTGATATAGAGACATCCATCTTAAAATATAGCAGAAATATTTTTACATTTATTTAATTTAGACTATCGGGTATAAATATATTATTCATATAATTATATTTGTTAAATGTATATCCCAAAATATGTATTGTTCTCTTGTATGTATCATCAAAACATCAAATAGAATTATTGCGAAAATACTTATACTACATATATTATCTTATACTACTTAATATTTTAGACATGAACACAAATCTCACATGCTGATGATGCCTAAACATCTTTAGACTTTTTTGGGCTGCTGCATAAGAAATTCTGCCATTTTGAGGCTCAGTGAAGTACCAATTTGCCTTAATGTGAACAATTCATCATACACACAGCCCAGCTAATGACTAATTAAATGAACTAAGCAGATACATGTGTGCACCCACACAGGAGCATTTTAAAACTTTAAGTCTTAACTTTATTGGTTTATCTGAGATTTTCTCTTTTAATATTCCTCATGTCATGTCTCCAAGGAAATGATCTCATAATAGGTTTATTATACAAACATTTGACAGTATTAATACATTCATACACTACAAGTTATGAAAGGTTTTCCTCCAAATTAATTTCCCTAGTTTTACAGTGTATTCTAGCAGATATAAAATCTCTTTGATATGTCAAAGTTTCTGTTACATTAGCGCAACAGTGTTTTATAATACAGCAGAGGGGGAACAGAAGCTAAAGAGACAATACCTCAGTGAGCAATGAGAGGCAATAAAAGGAGGAAGACGCGGGGGACAACAAATGTTCTGTCATCTTTTTTTTTTCTTTCAGTGATCCTCAGCAGGTGGGAGAGCTATTTCTGATGCAACCCAACTCCCTGCTGTCAGACACATACACACAAAAAGAAACAAATAGGGAGGCCTTGGTATCGGGGAAGTGTGCTTGTAATGCACTTTCTACTGTTGCTGCTTTCATAAATAGGAAGGTGACAGCTCAATGTGTCACCCCATAGTTCTCCATATGTGGTCGTATATCTGAATAATTGAACTCATTTTGAACCTTTTGGGAAGGAAATACAGAAAAAGGGACATCGTTCTCACCTGATCTTTGAAGTGTTATTAATTTATTGTCAGTCGCCTGCTATATAATCCTTCTGACACATCGTCATGACCCAGTCAGCTCAGCCATGAGGTGCTGACTTTGGGGTCTGTGTTATCATTTGAAACCACTTTGGATTGTACGTAACCGGACCCAAGCAAGGTTCAAGCATATTATTTAGGAGATGCTGAAACTTAATTTTTCTATCCTCAGTGGTGAGTACATTTATTCAAATAGAGCACTTCAAAATTTCCCTTTGGTGCTTGTACTTGAGTATTTCCATTTTATGCTACTTCATACTTCCACTCGACTACATTTCAGGGGGAAATTTACGTTTTACTGCGCTACTTTTACTTGAAAGCTATAATGATCAGTTACTTTACAGTTTAAGATTTCCTACACAAAAGTCTAGAAAATACAAGGCATCAGTAAAGGAGATCATTTATGAGAGGATTATCACTCAGATCTTCACCAGTGGAGGTGAATACTTTAACTAAAGTACTGTACTTTGGTACAATTTTGACTTTATTGAAGTATTCCTATTTTATACTGCTTTTTAATTCTCACTACATGTAACAGGGAAATCTTGTATTCTATTTGCAATTGATAATACTTCAATGCAAGACTTATCCTTGTACAGGAGTATTTTTGAACTTCAGTGTCACTACTTTTGCTTTGGTAAAACATTTTGGTAACATACTTCTTCCACCACTACTTCTCTCCTTTAAATCTAATATATTTCTTTATAATCACAACATTGTCAATATCCAACAAGATATTAGGTGTTTTTCCCCATCACTCTGTACCTCTGCAACTCTGCCCGTCTCCTCGCACTTTCTGGATCTTGTACAGACTTCCATAGTGGCAGCTTTGTTTTGGACACAGGGCACTGAGAGCAGCTGACAGATGACCGAAGCCAAGTGGCCCGCCATGGCATCCCTCTGCCCGGTGCTCTAACCTTGACACTGCCCTCGAATATTCCCAATAGGGTGCAGCGTGTGCCCTGAGTAGCCAACATTTCTCAGCTACCCGAACTTCTATCGGCCTACATATTCTGATAGTGGGAATATATAATAAAATGATAAAGGTGTGCTTTTGTTTTAGGAATTATTGTATTTGCATGATTATTATTATATATTTATTTTTATTAAATTATTGTTTTTTGTGACATACAGGGCTGGGAGGGTTACTTTAAAAATGTAATATGATACCGTTACTTATTACCTGTTAAAAATGTAGTCACTAACCTAATTCAAGCATTAAAGTATCATAACTGGATCACTTTTCATTACTTTTGGATTATATTAACATCAAATATTGTAAGCGTATTCTATAAGACAACAGAACAATGAAACCTTTGAAAAGAAAATGGAAACCAAGGCTCTGAATGTAAAAAATTTGTCCTTGCTCCAGGTATTTTCAAATAAAAACTGCCGGATTTTAAAATAGTAATCCTGCTAATGCTCCCCATTATATCTGATTATCATGTAGGTAAATGTTATTTGTATGTGAATGTTGTTTTGTGTGCATACCATATCTGTGATAACAATTGTATTTTTTAATGTGTAAACAAATAAAAGATAATTTTTCAAATTCAGCAATTACTCCAAATTAAGACGTTTTTCTCCTTTGAGAGGTGATAGAAGCCAACCTTCAACCCTGAACCATCTGCGTTATTCCCCAAGATGGCTGGAAAGGTTGAAGCCTATTTAAAAACAATGCAGCTGGACAGTCTATTATACACAGAAAGAAATGCACACAAATAGCCTGTAGGTCATGTATAATTATGTCCCTAATCTTAACATTACCCTTAAATCTAACTCCTATAGTGATAAGAATTGCCTGATAACCACTTGTTCCTTTTTCTACCTTTATGCTATTTAATATTTTTGGCTTTAAAACTGAGAGTATCTTGGCACAAGAATTTCACTGTACAGCTCCACGTGGTTTCTATAAAGAATTAACAATTTTTGAAGACATCTGGTCCTCATGAACACAATATTCAAGGCACCGACTTCTCCCACAAAGACATATCCAGAGATAAAACAGAGCTGGCAGCCAAGTTAAAAAGTTCAAGTTACTAAAAATGTCCCATGAGTCCTCACATGTGATTGTATTTATGGAAAAGGAAACAATGAAGTCTGAACACTAACTTTGTCCACAAGAGGTCAGTAGAGCCTTATTATTACAAAGCTCTGCAGCTGCTGGTGTGAAGAAAAATCTAAAAAGAATAAAAATGATGTAATATTGTAGGACAGAATGTGAGTGTGCTGCTCAATTTAGCAATTTGGAGGGGGGGGGTGAATAAGATTATAAGGTGACTTCAACGTTGAGTTAGGGTAACTGTTAGGGTGTGGTACTGTGGCCGACAGCTGCAGCAGCATCTCCATCAATCATCTCAGCCCCTTTTTTCCTTCAGTGCAGACTCAGTCCAGCAGGGGGCGACAGCACATCACAACACAGCTCTCAGCGGGAAGCCGGGACTAGACACTCTCATTCCGCAGCAGCCAGTGTCAAGCACAGAGAACAAAGCAAGGACTTTGAAGCAGGACTTTCAAAATAATGCTCATGTTAACAAATGGTTTAATTACAGCAAATTAAAAGCGGAGTCCAAAGTGATTTAGAAAATGATATGTGCCTAAGTAAGTCCTTTTTAATTGTAGTGCTGTGATTTCTAAAAGGGTGTAAAAGGAAAAACAATGCCACATGGTTAAAGCTGTGTCCCTTTTTTGCGATTGTTAATGAGCCAATTGGCCCCTGGGCACTAACATGTAAAAGGGCTCCTCTCATACCTAGCCAAAAAAGGAGAAAAAGAAAATAAAAGGAAAAATAAATGTACTCAGTCAGCATCAGGATCCAAAAAAAAGAGCTCTAATTTTAACCTCTTCCAACATGAAACTTTAAAAAGAGTCACTTCATACAGAGGCTCTAGGGTATGGGCCCCTGAACCACTGGACTCCTGGGCCTCTGCCTAGACCCATTCATTCATTTATATGTGGCTTTTACAAATTATAAGACAACTTGCATGCAAGCACAAACATTGGTGTGTCTTCTACTTTTTAAGTAAGTATTGTAAAAAGAATGAGCTTCAGAGGTTTCAGTAACCATGTAGGGTGCAACATGTTCACAACCCCATGGACCACTACCTTTAGTGGCTTCATTAAAAACGTGTGCCATGCAGACAAGCATTGTCCACACCCGCAATACTAAATACTATACCAGGAACAATATATCATGAATCATGAAAAGGAAGTGTACATTTAACCATACAGATAACATCCAAAATATTCCGGTTTATAAAATGGTGCCTTTTTTTTTTGCAAATGTTTAATATTTTTTGAACAATTTGCTATGTCCCAAAATATTGTCATGTTTACAGAAATTCTCTCTAGTAAAATGAAGCACAGTGTTTGAAAATAACTCCAGCCACTGCCTATGGGTGTGTTAGAAAGAGTCCCCTCAGCCAGTTGGTCCTGAGGCTCTCTGCAGTAACATGTCCCCAACAGCCTCAGGACAGCAACACCAACTCAATCAGACCAAACCAAATTATCAACAAGCAAAAAGAAAAATATATTGAATTCTGGAAAGAAATGACCAAAACACAAAGTAAATTACAATGTTATCTGACCCTAAAGAGAGAATTCAAACTGGCAAATTACCTGATCACAATAAAATGTCCTAGATTAAGAAAAATGTTGACAATGTACAGACTGAGTGAACACAGCCTGGCCATAGAAACGAGTCGCCACAGACAGAACTGGCTACCAGAAGAGGAGAGACTCTGCTCCCAGTGTGACAGAGGACAGGTAGAGACAGAGCTGCACTTTCTAATCTCATGCCCTAAATTCAAAACTTTAAGAGAAAAACAATTCGCAAACATTTCCCAAATATACCCCGAATTCGAATTATTATCAGACACACAGAAACTCCCCTATTTACTGGGAGAAATGCCAAAAAGTCAAATTATTGTAGCAAAATATGTCTCCTCATGCCACAAACTGAGGACGACCAGTGGAAACTCAGATAAATGTATAAAATAAGTGATTGTTTTAGTTGTAGTTGTTTTTGTTGTTGTTGTTGTTTAATACACACACACACACACACACACACACACATTTTAATTTTAATATATTTTAATATTATATATATTATATTTAATAATTTGTTATTACTGTTATATTGACAACAGACTACTTGTTTTAACTGTGGTCTGTTACTTTACTACTGTTACTGAGATTGATTGATTGTGACTGTGATTGTGATTGAGTCAATCATAGTTAGAGTATTACCAACAGTATAGATTATTGGTTATTATTAATTTATTGTAAATATTGTTTTCCTTTATTGTTATTATTATTATTTTTAATTCCAAACGCTTGCTTTGGCAATATGTACAGTGGTACGTCATGCCAATAAAGCCATTTGAATTGAATTGAATTGAATTGAATGGAAGCTTGACAGGCGTAGCTACAGTAACTAGGGGCTTTTATTTTGAAAACAAATACTTCCGTTCTCAGCCTGGTTTCTAACCAGCTTGACGCGCATCCAGCAGCACAAGAAGCACTTTGTCTTGGCCGAGGGGGTGTTGACAGGAGAAAGAGGGGGTGGAGGTGCTGGGAGTCTCAACTGGACTGACCCGGCCCACTTTACAGCGCAGACCCTGCAGCAGGACGAGGACCGAGGAGGCCCGAGGAGAGGACCGGTGCGGGCGGGAGAAAGAGGGATCAAGGTGGACCGGATCGGGGACGCACGCAAAACCCCCTTTCAGATTGAGATACAGCGGGACAGCGGGCGGGGAGGAGGGGGCCCCCGCATGATTCCTCACAATCCGCAGGCTGTAATGATGATGGTGATGCACCGAGGGCAGAGCGGCGGATTCCTGCAGAGCCCGACACACTGCACCACACGCCCGCAACCCGGTGTGAGCTGCTGCAGGGCCGGACGCTTGTGCTTCTCTCCATCAGAGCCAAACCAAACCAAAACCGGATTTCCTGACAGATACGTGAGCAAAACAACCCGGTAACAGACTCCCTTGCAAGCTCCATTCATACTCCACCCCCGTCTGCGGGATGAGACGGGGGATCTGCAGCGGACGGAGAGACCAGCTTTGAACCGAGTCTGCGTATTACTGCACCTGTTTTCGTGTGCATGCACCGGTTGTTTTGAAAACGTGCAAACAGACAAGAAGGGGGGGAAAGATGTTGGTGCGATGCTACCGGGGCAAGCTGTCGGTGTGGGCCGCTCTGTGCGTGCTGGTGCTCTGCTGGTTTTACATTTTCCCCGGTTACAGACTCCCCCGCGATAAAGAAATAGTGGAAGAGGTGCTGAGGCAGGGGGAGGTATGGCAGAAGAACCAGACGGGCATCGATTTGTACAGGTTCGTGTCAGGGATCAGCTTTTATGTTCGTTGCTTTGCAGCAGTGGTCCCCAAAGTGCGGCCCCCAGCTGTCTTTAAGTGGGTTCCACTATAGGTCACCAGAAAGATTTCCTCTTTTTGTTTATGTTTTTTTTTTTTTTTTTTCAACCTAGTCCTGTTTAATACTAACAAAACAATGCATAACAGGTTTAATAAGTCACATGAATCAACCCTATTATCAGTAAGGTGTCTTGAGAACAAATTGTGCTTGTGACCTCTTTTGTCTGTAGTTGGAGTCCCTGGACATATGTGCATTATGTCATTATGATGAGGCTGTAATAGATACCAATTAATGAAAATAGTAATTAGTTTACGCATTTCATAAAATACCTAAATCTGGAAAAAAAATTACAGCTCTAATTCTGCAAAAACATTCCTAAACTTTGCAAGATATCAAGATATAAGAGATGGAAACACATCACAAACACTGTTTTTATTTAGTGCCACAGACTGTGCGGGCTGTGGCAGGGAAAGCAAAACCAGATCAACACAGCATGTTTAGTTACACAGTGGCAGTCTCATTTAAATCTTATTCACTCAAGAATGTATGCAGACAACTCTCCGAGGCAAAGCCGATTAGGATCACGAAAAGAAGGTGACGTCTGCAGAGCAGTGGACAAGGCCTGCAGCGGGATGTGATGCTCACTTGGAGCGGTGGTTTTAATGTCACAGAGCTTTAAGGACCTTTTGTTTCGTCCAGTGGATTCTTGAGATTTAACAGCCGGGAGAGTGAAAAGGCTGAGGACAGTCCCTGCTATTTAAGCATTTCATGAGTTATCTACTGCCAAAATCCTTAAAATGCCACATACAACCCAAAATATGTGACCATTTTCTCTTGACTTTACCCAGTGGTTCTGTCTTGTCTCATCAATACACATCTTGATCTGTGTGTCTCTGGGCAAATAATGATTTATTTTAGCCCTCACCCAATCGCAGCTGCCCTGTTCAATCCAATTTGTGTCAAACTATCCAGAGATCACAAGAGACCAGATTCTTTATTTCCCACATCCTCTCTTGCACAGGAAGTTGCTGACAGAGTGCTGCGATCCACGGAGGATGTTCGCAGTCACCAAGGAGAACTCGCCAATGGGAAAGGTCCTGTGGTACGATGGCGAGTTTTACCACTCGCACACCGTCAACAATGAGACCTACCCACTCTTTGTACAGGTATGTAGCTGAAGCTAAGTAGAAGCAATTAATCATCAATCTAAAATTGTCTGTTCAGGCATCACATGCAAAAGGGTGTGAATCTTAGTTAAGGGGTTGTTTTTCCCTCAGACAGCCACAAGACTTCTTCCCCACAAGACACATGACTTAGTTACTTTGCCAGAACGCAAAGAAAAAATGTCTTTCTACCACTCTGTTGTGGGGAGTGTGGGCTTTAACATGGATCCTTGTTGATCCATAATGGAGACGGGGAGGGGTGGGATAGTGTAGTAGGCAGACATCCAGGAAGGCAGAGAGGATTATTGGTATAGTGTTCTGCTGCGTGAGTGGAGGGGAGTTGGTGTTAACATGTGATGTGAGAGGAAGGGCAAATGCAAGAATGAAACGTGTTCCTCTTTCATTTTTCCAATTAATCGCCACGATCACTTTGTCTTTACTTCCCCCCTATAGGACCAATAAATCAGGGTTTCTGTTGAGACAAGATATGGGGGAGTTGGAGAGGCACAGATGAGGACAAATTGGGAGTGTTTATATATCTTTTTTTATGTATACACATATTTTTTAACATATCAAATCAAGCTCCTGGTCTGTGTTTATCACCCAAGAGGTTTTGTTTCTTTCCACATAGTCTGATCTAAGATAGGGGGGTTCAGTTTATGGGTAAAAACTGGAGGAGGATGTGCTTCAAGTTTCTCCCTCCTGATTTATTTCCCCTGCCCTTTCCCTGCAGAGGATTCCATTGTTGCACAGTCTAGGACCTCTGTATTTATGCCTATGTGTATGTGTATATTCATGTAGATAAGGCCCATTGGGCTATTTTTACATGGTTCCATGCCTGTGTGTGGGTGTGTGTGCGCATGTGGATGAGGGTGTTTGTGCCTGGAAACAGGACAAAATGAGAAACTCTGGTGTAAGTGCTGTTGCCGTGGTTTTTGTATCCAGGGGCAGTGCATCTCACTAATAATCAAGATTGGATCCCTATTACCAATGCTGCGGAGCTGCAGTTTAATATCCTGGTTTGGTAAATGCGGTGAATATCTGACCCTAATTTGCAGGCGTGAGCCATGCATGTTCATTCATGAGGGATGGGGGAGGTGAATAAGTAAAGACATGAGAACATGAAGCCAGAGAGGACAAGCTGAACCACAGAAGAATCTACACACTGTTTATTGTTATTAAGTGTTTATAATCTAAATTCAACATGCATTCATTGATTCAAATTAGAGCTATTAAAATTATGTTATATATATATATATATATATATGGTTATTTTTCTGTGTCAGACTCCAGTACATCGCCCTGCGCAAGGTTCACAACTCTCCATCTGCATAGCCTATTTCTAGTAGTGTGGTTGCACTTCCTCTGCGATACTAAGGCCTGTTATGTGTTTCTCTGTGGAAAGGTAACTAGTAGTTAGGTGGGTGGATGAAGCACAAGCTCTTTCAGACGCACACACACACACCACACACTCACGCTTATTCTCTGCCTCCTCAACTAGTGCTATGATTGTAGGTCTGAACACAGACAACCAGCCTCACTACACCAAGCTGGCAACAGCTACAGTATTTGAGTATCTGCCAGGGAATGTGCCAATTAGGGCTTTGACAGTTAATTGCTGGTTAGTTCAATGGCTCAAACAGAGCATCCATACACACAGTTTACTGGACTGTACAGTAGATGAGCTCACAGCATGTCGTTTTCTTTTATTTTGTCCCATTCAACATGCTATATTATAATGAAAAAAAAAAAATCTGTCAAGATATTGGTAAAAGTTTGATTAATAACTCTCCAGAAGTAGCTGGATCATTAATATTGTAATAAGTGCCCCCCTCGCAAGGTTTAGCCCAGCTTGCTGGTTCCCCTCCCCTGCTCGATGTGCTGTTAGCAGGGAATTGCCCTCTGACTCAACTCCCTGTCATGGTCTAAAAGAGACCCTGAGGTAAGAAGATGTGCATGTGCATTTGTGTGTGTGTGTGTGTGTGTGTGTGTGTGTGTGTGTGTGTGTGTGTGTGTGTGTGTGTGTGTGTATTCTCAAGTGTGTGGGAGTGAATAGGGGGAATAATGAGCACAATTGTTTCCGCCATCTCATTTAATCCATGCCTCTGACTTAAATGCAACCAAGGCAAAGACAATTTTGGCTCTTGCCTCATGGAGTGTGGTATTTCAGTGTTCTCAGTAACAGCTTTGATACTGTCCTATACCAGGCTTTAATTTAGATGATGATAGGGCAGTGATTCCCAGCCAGCCTACTTGTGCCCCAGGTGGCACTTGCAGTTACCAGGGTTCCTGGGGAAAGATTGTGCTGTAGCTAAACTAATTTGAGAAAATATGAATTGATAAAAAGATATTCAAATACTGACTCAGCTCTAACACCACATTTGGCATTTGAGAGTGTGTGAAAACCAACTAGCAAGTGAGCAGTGAAGTCTGAGCAGTTGGATAAATGGTTGTCCATTAGCTGAAAAGTAAATGGCTGAAATAGATGATTGTTAATTAATTGTAATGGATGAATGGGTGATGTAGTTAGTTAAAAAGCCTCTGCAGGGACCCGACCCAAACACTGTGCAAAAGGCATTTACCAGGGCACATAACAGACAATTTTTATAAAGTAAGTTTGTTTCCATCCTTGAGCATTTTGTTTTCAGTGATAAGTAATGTAGTTGCAGCTAAAGTTCCTTTTTCCTTTCTGATTTATCTACGTCTCCTTGGTATTTTTCATTAAATAATTTCACCATGTACAATATAGACATTGTTCTTGGAGCATATGCTGGAAATGTAATCTGATTCATTAGCTGTATGACCTCGACTTGCTTTTGTCCCCCTCCTCGGTTCATATATCCACGCTCGTTCATCCGTCAGCACATGAGGCTGTGACGGGAAATTAGCGGTAGGCCCGAGGTCCTGCGCTTTGCTAAACACACTGTGAATTATGCACCTGCCTCAATTTTGGGATCTGAGTTGAGAGAAAATGTATATTTGTTTTTGTGCGTGTGTGCAAGTGGCTTTGTGTGTTTATGTCCAGATGCTAGCGTCTGTGTGTACACTAACAGAGCTGCATGTTTCCTTCTGCCTAGGACAACCCTCTGCAGCTGCCCCTGAAGAAGTGTGCGGTGGTGGGCAACGGTGGCATTCTCCGTAACAGCAAGTGTGGACGGAACATTGACCAGGCCGACTTCATCATGCGGTGAGAAACAAGGGACTCTGTGGGGCTGTTAGCACAAGTACGTGCATGAACATCACTTCGTCACTGCTCCTCTAAATGTTAATCAGCCGTGCCCGAGAGAGCAGCCAAATACAATCAGCCATCAGTGATAATGAGAGCTGGTGTCGACTGTAGCCAAGAGAGAAAGACAGAGACAGAAAAATGGGCCACAGTGAGGACAAGAGAGAAAAGAGTTTAGGCGTGAGTAAGCAAAATCAGAACAGACTGAGATGAGGGAGGAAGAGGAGATGCGCAGAAAGCAGAATGAAACCATCTGGTGGTGCAAAATAAAAGGAATGATCTTTGTTCACTTGCTGAAAAAACTTTGACTCCACACAAAGAGAATCATATTCATACTATGAATGTGAGATAAAGGTGTTTTTCTGTTTGGAACGAGTAATCAAAGAGATGCGTTTGTTTGGATTTGACAGAGGAAGAAACCATCTCTGAAGATGCTATACAGAATGTGACAACTACTCTAGTGTTGCAGGGGAAACAAGTTGAAGAGAGAGCTGGCATGGAATCTACAGTTGTGAGAGCTCGGAAAAATACATGGTTGATCATATCATAGTAGTTACTTTGTATAAGGAACAGCGGCCTGTTGCAAAACCCCCTTGTTTATGTCAAACTTGTCACTTTGACGTGTGATGCTAAAGAACATAACAACAAGTACGCTATGGCTTGTGTGTCAGAAATAGTTTTATTATGGAAATTATGTCAGATCATGCTCTTGAAACTTGAAACTCGCATTTGCAATTCACAGCAGCTGCTGATCCAAGCCTTTTCTGTGTTCTTCACACCGTTCATTCCGTAATGAATTTATTGAGTATTATCACTATCACTTAGGATGCTTTTTTTTTCACTGTTTCTTGTGAATTTCCAGTGTAAGGCTTGAACAGACCCTTGTTTTGTTCCAGTATTGGATGTTTGGAATCACAGATAGCACTCTAGATAAGAGGAATTTGTGTGTTCTGCAGATTGCACCTTTTTATGTAGCTCTGCTTGGGTTTCTTTCAGGGAATTCTGGGTTCCTGTTCAAAGACAGTTCAGATTAGAAAAATCTAAATTGCCTGAATAGTGACATGCCCAAGGTGTAATCCTGATCTCACCCAATGGTTGGTGGCTCTAGCCCCTGCAACAGGATAATGGATGGAGGTATAGACAAATTTTGGCTGACTTGACCCAATAAAAGCCATTTACTGTCCAGTGGGTCTGGTTTATTAAATATTTGAGTCTGGGATGCCAGTCCATGTTACCATATGTTTTGCCTGGTAGAGATAAAAAAGTGTGCCGAATGTTGAATTCTGCTAAACTGCTACAGTTTTGGGAAAACGGTTACTGCGATAGGTGAACCTAAAGTAAAGTAGGAACCTATCAAGCTTTTGGAAGCAAAGCAGGGCTGATTCACCCTGACAGAGGAAACATTATAGCAAGGACGCAATGGCAGCCTTCAAAAAGACAAAGGCTGCGTTTCATTAGTCATTCAACATGCCCTCGTTCACTTGCAGAGTAAGGGCAAGTGCGTTTCATTTAAATCCCCCGCTCCTCCCCCGCCCACTTTCCCTCCGCGCTCCAAGTGGCCTCCGTGCGACGTATGCTGTTACGTCATACCAAGGGCTGAGGGTAAGTGAACGAGGGGAAGTGGAACTACTAATGAAACGCAGCCAAAGACTCCTTTCCGACTGTCCTGCATTTCCTGCATGTGCTGACAGGGCCGTTTCTAGCTTTTTGGGGGCCCTGTGCAAAATGTTGTTTGTGGCCCCTATTTTGTAAAACGATGCTGATTCAAAACCCTCCAATATGGTCCAGGAGTATGAATTTATTTAGTTTATCTGGTGTACTTTAAGTGGAAAAGAGCCTAGATGAGATCTTCTTTCCCCTCAAATGCATCTCTTTGATGTCTCTTGGTAGGCAAGCACCCTCATGTGCTGAGTGACAGAAAATTCATTTTAATCTATAAAAAAAAATGTGTTATAGCCTTCTGTCTATGGCAAAAATGGCAGCTTGGCACGCCTGTCTGCTCTCAACACAGCTCTGATATGTCATAAGATGATAAACTACATGTGGCTTGCTCGACGTAATTATTCCATAATTCTATTAATTATTGTAGTTTACTCCACTAAACACATTATCTTGCATGGAATATACATTTAGCGTGATAATGTCAAGTCAAGCTGGGAGACTGTTTGTCGTGACAGAGAAAGTAAGAGTCCTGTGAAATAACTTCATTTGTTTAACCATTCATTGCTGAAATACAGGGTGTAATTACAGAGGGACATTGTCAGTCCAGTTATTAATGACTTTAATTACGGGAACCATTCTGCCAACTTTGGCAAACCAAAAGTTGTACAAATGTGTCCCTCCTGTTGTTGCTGCCTGTAATATAATCAGAAGCTCCCATTCCTTTAGCCTCCTCCAGTAATTTAAGATCTTTGACGTCTGTTTTTCATTACACAAGACCACATCGCTCTCATAATCAAATGAGCAATCCAATCAGCAGATAAACAGGTATAATGACTTTAATGCATCCTTAAGTTGCTTGTGCTATAAGGTCTTGAATAACTTATAAATCACCATTGGTGCTATCATCAGTACACTGTGTTTATGGTGTGTGTCTATATTTGGAGCATGTGAGATGTTAAATGTATCATGTGTGTTTTGTTTATTTAGGTGTAACCTTCCACCACTTTCAAAAGAATATGTGGAGGATGTGGGAACCAGAACACATATGGTCACAGCCAACCCCAGCATCATAGAGAAAAGGTAATCAGCTTGGTGATCAGAATCAAAATCAATTCTATTAAGTAAAACTTTGCACATTCATCACTTGATTGATAACTTACATATATAGATGGGAAAAGCGAATGGGTAGGAAGTTAACGCAACCTGCATTAACTTCATATTCCAATCAATTTTAAGATTTGTCAAATGTAATGATTAAATAATATAATATTAAAGACAATTTATGGCCTAAAATTCTGATGATTGGACTTTCTAAGGACATGCAGAAACCCTGTTTACATATGATAAAAAGGGCATTAAGACAAGATATAAAAGAAACCCAAGGCAATATTGAAAAAATACAACTTGAGTGAAAAAAAGCGAAATTGAATGAAGCATGCCTTTTCTCTCTAAACTGTCTAATGTCCACTTTATCTTATAAGTGCCTAAATCTGTCCCACTGTCTCTCTGATCACAAAAAATGTCCTTTCTAGAGAAACAGAAAAAGGAACAAACAGCTGGGTATCAGATCCTGGTTGATCCTGATAAAGTGTTATTTTAATCGTTACACCACAACATTTACAGTAACTCTTTCTCTTTATCGCTCTCAGATTTCAGAACCTTTTGTGGTCGAGAAAAGCTTTTGTGGACAGTATGAAGGTCTACGGCTCCAGCTACATCTACATGCCAGCGTTCTCCATGAAGCCTGGCACTGACCCGTCACTGCGGGCGTACTACGCCCTGGCAGACACCTCCTCCAACCTCACCATGCTTTTTGCCAACCCTGAATTCCTGCGCACGGTGGGAAAATTCTGGAAAGCTCGTAGCGTGCACGCCAAGCGCCTCTCCACGGGGCTGTTCCTGGTCAGCTTGGCCTTGGGGCTGTGCGAGGAAGTGACGGCCTATGGCTTCTGGCCATTTTCCGTTGGCCTGGACGAGCAGCCGGTCAGCCACCATTACTACGACAACATCCTGCCCTATAAATGGTTCCACGCCATGCCTGAGGAGTTTGTCCAGCTTTGGCACCTACACAAAAGCGGCACTCTGCGCATAAGAGTGGGCCACTGTCCCCCTCAAGAAGGAGGGAGCTAGGGTCGAAGTGATAGCGGTCAGTTGAAGTTCAGTGGGCTACAGGAAGCAGATGAAGACGTTTGGGCTGTGAAGTGTCAGGAAGTTGTCGTGATGACAAAAATGGGTGCACGTATTTCCCCTGAGGAACTTCTGCACTGTGTCTGTGTCCATACACACTCCTGCTGTCCCCCACAGCTAATCCCTAATTATCATGAGAATGTCCTCCACCCAGGCAAGCAACATCAGGGATAGAATACACACACTGACACATGCAGCCATACACACACAATGTAAATTATTCATACATTCCCAAAACTTACCATGTCTCCTCCCTTTGTTTCTGAAATGTGTGTGTGTGCATGGATGTGTTTGTGAAAGCCTCAGCTGGGACTAATGGCGGTGAGAGTGCGTGGGGTTGGATGGGTGGGGGATGGTTGTTGTTTTTTTTTGGGGGGGGTTGTATGCTGACTACTGTATCTGACTGACATAAGGGGCAGCTGGACCAAACCCCCCTCTGGGTCTTTGTTAAATAGAGACAGAAGGAGTGGAGGACCAGAGGGAATAATAAAACGCTCTGAAAGACTGGCGAAATGAGAGGAACACGGGACAGATAATGGTGTCCTGGTACCTAATAGCTTGAATAGGACTGAAATTTAATGGAAGGAAAAAAAGACTGGCAGGGGGGAGAAAGAGTGAAAGCCTGCTGGTATGTGTATGAAAGGATTTCTCTCTGCTTTTCTTCAACCAAGCGCTTGATTGGCATTCTCTGGTGCCACATAGGGCTTAAGTTCAAAGCAGGAGCCATTTGAAATGGAGTCTTAAGTAGTATATAGCCTAGAATGTTTAGCCAAGTTGCATTTTAACCTTTCAGAGAAAAGGGAAAATGAGTACACCCTGGTGTCCACCTATGTTTTTTGTTTGCCAAATGTGGTTTTTGGGATTAATGTGAATTCTTTTGTGTCCATGAAGAGAAGGGAGAAAGTGTTATTGACATATATAATCAGAAATGAACATTTGTTGCAAAAAACATCTCACATAGGTACTTCAGCTCGAAGTGGACATCATCACCGACTGACTATTTGGTACGATTCTCAATAGCAGGCTCCTTAGGTTAAAAAAAACAAACAACAACAAAAACAGACTGACCCGCTTCTTTAGAGGGGCAGTTACCAAGCCATCTCTTGGTAGCTGTACTATACTTGCCAAGTGCCAAGCCAAGGGAACAGTGTTCTCTTTGATACTCACTCTCACGCTCTCCTTGTAGCTCTCAAAAGGGGGTCACTGATATAAAGAGTGGTAGTGACAGAAAAAGACTTGAGGACTTGCTGTCAGAAAGTGGCATTTTAATGGGTGACTTTTGTTTTTGTTTTAGCTGGACACCATTTAGGGTTAAATTGTGATTTATTGATGCAATTATTGTCATTACCATTTTGCATCGGAGTGCAGGGACTACTGAGCCTCGGCCCTGTGCTCCTTTTCATAATTGTGATTTTGTTTTTGACATTTTTTTTGTACACAAGGGAAAATAATGACTGGCTCATCTAGAAAGCCAAACACGACAGACACAACTGTTTTTGTACTTGCAGGCCTTGCGGATGGAAAAACAGTGTACTTGATTGGAAATAGTTCTTTCTTTTAAAATGTTATTTAAGAGTGATAAATGTGAACGTGCCATACTGTCAGTACCGCAACAATGGATGACTCTGCATGGAAAGTGCATGGGGCGTACCACAATCCCTCAAGGTACAGAACATGTCGATAGCTTAGTGCTTCATGCTTTTATCCAATTCCTTGTCTGTTAAACTGAATGAGGTCCAGTGCCTTTGAGATGTATTAAGGCAGAAAGATCATTCAAACGAGGGATATTTCTAATGTTGATCATGCTCTTAAATGTGTTTGATTTCTTGGCCTACCTGGCTCTGTGGATCAGTCGCTTGTGTGTAAGTGACCCCTGACTTCATGTAAAATGAACTTAAAGATGGCCGCATGTAGGACGAAGTTCATGAAGTGATCCGAAATCAAATAATTTCCAGTCCAAATGCACATGTTGCTGCTCCATACTCCAAACTGAACTTGATGAACACTTTGACCAATTTGTTTTACTTATTGTGATGTTTCTTATTTGCACCTTTGTATTTTTCCCTCTCCTGCCCAGTACTGTGAATGAATGAAATGTGACATAGTGTGAATTTTAAGTAAGCATGACGGTTTTTAATGTACATGTGCTTTTGGTACACAGATTTGTATCTATTTCCATTATGTTCTGATTCATGCCCTCATTCCATCCTATCTGAGTGATAATCGAACCACTGAAGAGCTGAGATTTCTTATCAAAAGGGAGATGAATCTGTCTTGTAAATATTGGTCTGTTAACACAATGACCAATTAGTTTTAGATCTCCAATCCTTCTTTATAGGTATACTTTTTCAGAAGCTTCACCGAGCCCAACGGGTCCAAATAAACTGCAGCTGTTACAAAAAGAAAACATCTGAATCTTTGGCACTGTGCTCTCCCTGCTACAGCCTGCACAGCTCACATATCGTAAGTTGATATTTAAAGCGCTGACTCCTGACATCATTCATTTTTAATAGTTTTTGTTATTGATCTAGCATGGAAGAACATGTAAGAACAATATCATCACCATTGCCAAGGGTTTTTTACATTCCAAGCCCAGGTTTCATATTACGTGGTTAAACACAGGAAGACGTTCTCTACAGTTTCATAACTATGCTTGGGTTTTCTGTGCTGTATCGCATATTCAGACAAATTATAAGAACAGTTTGACATTTTCGGAAATGCATTTGTTTGTTTTCTAGCTGAGTATTTGATGAGATGATTGATACCACTCTCACTTTCTGTCCTTTTTAAGTATAAGGCTACTGCCAGTTAACGTAGCTTTTCAGAAAGACTGGAAATTCTTCTATTCTGATCTAACTCTCAAAGAAAGCAAATAAGCGCATTTCCCGCTGCGTTAATAAGAAGCCCGCAGGAAAAAAGTGGAACTAGACAGAGCAAAATAGAGCATGGCTCGTACACAATGGCGGTATTGTCGTCCATTTTCTTTTCCTGTGCCTGCCAACTGGTCGCATTTATCACGCCAAAGTATGTGTGGCTGCAGGGTGACCAATTGGTTAGAGTCTGATCATGGAAAGGTCACATGTTTGATTCTGAACTTCTACATATTGCAGTGTGAAACCAGCCACTGTGTTTTCACCTCATGATGATAATGTCTTCTACTTCTTGGTCATGTTAGTTGGAAAACAGCAAGATATTCATGATGATGTCTTAGTGCAGGTTTAACACAGCAGAGTCTCAGATGTAGAGGTGTAATCGTTGGAAGCTTTTCCGTCATGTCTTCGCCTACAGAATACAAGGGAATGCTGTGTCGCAAATGACACGACAAAGGCAATATAAAATGTGTCAAATGGTTAAAAAGAAGAAAAAAGTTAAAGCCATTATGTGTAGTATTTTATGCAATCTTTCAAATGATTCTGATGGCATGTTTTTGCTCGTAAAAACTAAGATAATGGGGTGAATATTTGTGCAGACTGTGCTGCTTTCAGCCTGTTCATTTCAGTCGCTTGGATTGAATCAGAAGGGGGCAGTGACGGACATTGGTGTCTTTTTTAAGTCTACCACTTGGGGCGTCAAGTCGTGAATTATTTTATTCTACACATAGTGGCTTTGGCTTTCCTAAACAAACAGTTAAACATTAAGTAAGTATTTTAAGTTAGAGTGTTCTATGATTACTAATTGACACAGTTGTGGTGATGAAGTAAATTAGGTTAAAGCAAATACAAATAATCATTTTTTGTATAGACTGTTTGACTCATTTTAAATCAGTACCGGTCCAGAGGGCTCAATCTTCTGACATTTAAATATTTGATGATATGCCAAGCTTGATGAACAGATGTAAATGTGCTTTATTTGCCTTGACTGACTGAATTGTTACAAAAAGATGAACGACAAAAAACATTTTGGAGGCATTGCTGTTTGTGCTACCTTCACCTCCTCTGCTCATTCAAGTCATCTGATGTGAACAACCCTGCCTGAGCATGTTAAAAATAAATCAGATGTGCAGTTCAGAATAGCCATGAACAACCAAATCCATATACAAGGTGAACACTGGTATCCAATAAAAGAAGGAAAATAATAAAATGCTTTCAGCTGTGTGATTTTCTTTCACATGACGACTGCCAGATGTTCTGTATGTAGTCATACTCATTTTTAGGTGATAACTAAACAAATGTAGAGCACATATACTATAATAAAAAAGATTCTACTTTTCCCATATTCTCTTGAATATGTGTACAACTTGTTTCAGGTGAAACACATTCATTCCAAGCTTTTCATACCATTCCTGTGTTTCCCCCTTTGTGTGGGTGCATAGGAATCTTGCTGCCCATATAGTTTGTTTAGTGGTTATGAATGTTTCTGCTCCTGGGGAATGGCATCAGAGAAACTCTCTGCTTGCCACAAGCGCGGCCTGTTTTCTGGGCCATGAATTTTTAAAGATGTGTGAGCAAAAACTACACAGCTGTCTCCCAGGCCCCTGTTCCCCGCTGGATCGTTCAGCTTTGCTGTATTTATGATCAAGGCCCTAATTTGTCTATCTGGTGTGGAGAGATACCAGCTAAGAGGATGGAGCATATTAAAGATGATAGAGATTTAATTATAGAGGTTAGAAGGAAATAGATAAGTGTGTGTGTGTGTGTTTGCAAGCAAGCTGCTGTATGCAATAGATCCTGTGTTACTTAAAAAGGGAGTATACTTTTTAAACTACACGCTATAAATAAGGTTTTTAGCCATGCTAGTATCATCACGGATGGCAACGTTTGACAGTTCTCCAAAGGTATATTGATTGCCGTATGGTGGCTGACTGCAGTATAGGTCATAAAGCCTGCCGCCTCCCTGTTAACAGATGGGACATGGGCCAATTTTTTGAAGCCAAAATATAAATCGATATTTTGGCTAAGGTGGGAGGAAGTGGAGATGTGACGTCCATCATGCTTTACACTTAAATTTGTTATAATCACATTACTTATGATTGAAAACTAGAGAGTCGACAAATTTGCTAACACAGCCAAACATCATTCAAGTGCAACAATACAAGACATAGCCAGCCAGCTAATATTACTGACTAGTCCAATAGCAAGGAGCCAAGCTCTGTATCTGCACAGAAGCTTCTGAGCCCAGTTACATTGCCCGCTCGCCCAACACCAGCTCTGGCGCGATGCCAGAGAAATTTGATGCAGAAGAGCCAGAGGACATCAGAGGGAAAACCAGGAAACATCCTCTCCATAAAATATGGAGATATTTTTTATTGAAAACAACATTGGCATATACTGTAGTGTTCAATTTCACACTATCATTCTCACTTGGAGCAAATAATCTCTCACACAATGTAACACTGTCCACCAATCAAAGGGTGAAAAAAATACATTGTCACACAAAAAGCCCCTTCAACAGCCCTTTCTAAGGGATCAAAACAGGGCGATACAAAATAAAATTACAAAGTGCACATGTAAGGTAAACTAGGACTAAAGTGCAATTAAACCATGGCTTAATACTTTTCTCAAGTTTGCTTCGAACATAGCAGTCAGGCTACTGCTCTTTATTCACCAGAGGCTCAACCCAGCCTCTTATTTCCGAAAGAATGAACAGTAACGGTTACCAATAAAAGGTAAGCCTACTACTTCTTTGCTTTGAGCCAGTTACTCAAACAGACAAGCCTGTTGACATTTTCAGACAACAAGGAATCCATCCATTTCAGCGTCTCGCGCTCGCCACCCACTCAAAACGTAACGTCTACTACTCTTAAACAAGTGTGTGCGGCGTGCATGTTGTTTTGTTTCAGTCTAGCTAGATCCGGTGTGGTGTTGTAGTTTGTCTAACGTTACTAGTTGTTGCAACAGCATGTGAAAAAAACTACAAAGTGTGCTAGGCGTTAATCTCGCAATAAAAAAAATTGACGCCGTTAAAATGGCTTTGCGTTAACGCCGATAATAACACGTTAAACTGACAGCACTAATCAAAATAGTGCGCGTGCACATAATTGCGGGGCAGAGAGCAGAGTGATTGAGTAGCGTGAGTTGTGTTTGAGAGTAATATTTTGGAAAATGGCTGAGGCACGACCAAAGAAAAGACGCTCGGAGGAATATACGGCGAACAAAAGAGAGATTGAGAAGGCGTGAACGAAGACCTCTTCCCCGTCCCCGTCCTCTCCCTCTCCCACGACCTCTGCTTCCACGACTTGCAGCTCGACAGTGTATGAGAGGCGAAACAAGAAATTATGACACTCGTAAGCCATTTCAATATGGAATAGTTTGTAGTTCCTAGCTTTTGACTTCAATCTAATACGCTGCCATGAACGGCTTCCGTAGCATGCTGGCCGTAGCTGTAGCCAACCGGTAAATGACGGAAGCTGTTCATAGCAGCGCATTAGTTTGAAGTCAAGATGAACACATTATTTATTAATTCATTATCACGACAAAAGGATTTATCACGAGATAACAGTGCATAAAAATTTTTAAAAATCCATGGCCGTTCTGGCTTCCGTATCTTTTGCATAAGCTCATACAAGAATTTTCAATATATCAGCTGTAACTAATAACCTCATATCGTAAACATATTGTATAAAGACTTAGAATATAAATGTACTCACTGAACAGTTGGAGTTAGCTCAGCCATCTTAGCGACGTTAGCGTAGCACAACTCCACTCTCGATTTCAATGCACGTTCATGACAGTTACGGAAACATGGGGGGAGTGGCAAGCTTGCTCTGTTTTGTTTGATATTTATTTTGAACCACAACAGAAGTGACCTCATGCAGGATCGCATAGTGCACCTTTAAAAAGTAGAAAAGTTACATGATGGTTCTTTAAATATTGTTATCGTCAACATGTTGACAGCTACCATTCAGTACAAAGCATCACTGTACTTCAATGGTGCTTTGTACAGTCTCACAGAGCTAATAGCATGGCTCTGTATTGAAAACGTATTAGCTCAACTAATACAGCTGTTAGTTAGTTTTATAATACTGCTAGTTTAACTGTGAACAAAGAACTCCAGCTTCATGTAATTTTGCCATCAGTGCACCGCGTTTATTCACTACACATGGTTTTATTTCATGCTATGAAGTACCTGTGGATGAAAACTTAAACTTTCAGAATTAATTTCTGACATGTGCTATCATGTTGGTGGCCATGAGGTAAAGCAACCGATAGACGTGTATTTACATGTACATCTTACACTCAAATAACGTTGTCAAAATAGAATCTTGTTCTCTGTTCTTCACCACTCACACAGTTTTGCTCACCTATTTTTAAATGCGAGGCAAGAAGTGTAGCAGAGCAGAGAGCAAACATTTTTCACACTTTTCTCCACTTGTCTAGTTATGTCTATGTATGTCTAAGTCTATTCCTTCTTTCTATTTCTGGCACTGAAGCAACCTATCCATAGTGGGTAGCAAATGTTAAAACTTGAGAGGGATTAAGAAACTCTCTGTCTTCCTGGCACACACACGGCCTCTGCACTATTAAGCTCATAATAGCAACTCTGGACATGGATGAGTGTTTTTGCCTTTCCACAGCAGCACTCCCTCAACATGTTGGCCAGTTTAGCTCGAGAATCTACAAAATAACATGACATAAACCTGAGTATAGGTTTTGTGTGCAGTGCAATGCTTACATTTAACAAGCTCGAAGGAATTAGTGTTTATGTTAAGTTACACTGACACCCTGAATGGCTATTTCTGTCACAAATCAAATCACTTATGTTTCATTTTCTTGGTTAATTCTTGTCACAGATGTGCTCCAAAACCATTATAGAGCCCTGGTCTAGAGGAGAATCTGCTATGAGTGGTGACTGGACAGTGAATCAACTGTAAATACTATTTTGGATGATCATATTATCTCCTTTAAGTCTATAATGAAAGAGGTACTGAGCAACTGTCTGGCTATGTCTTGTTTTTATTTGCTTTCCATAGCATCACTGGTGCTCTTTGTGCATGACTCCTTGTATCCATATTGCATGTATACACTCAGGCCTTTCCAGTCTTTCGTCTTTTTTTAGTTTTTGACTTTGATGATGCTTTGTTGTAACATTGTTAGACACTGTGAGTGCATTAAATCCTTAAACATGTGTGACATACAGTAATCCTATAGTATGGACAAATTATTTAGGAAACTGTTTCAGTTTTAAGGAACATTGATCTTATCACCAAAAGTAAAGCATAAAGGAAGATGACTGGCTGCTCTGAATAGTCAATCATACATCAGAAGATGCATTGGGTGTTCTGGGAAACAGGGAAAAAAAAGTGGATGAACAAAAAGGCACTCCAAAAAAATATCAACAAGGATGGAAATATAAATTTAATTGCCAATTAATTTAAAAAGCCAACATGTTTCAAAGAAACCACGAAAAGAAAAATACTTTCAGAACATGCACCTTTGTTATTCTACTGAATCAGCCTTATACCTGATTCTCCTTCATGCTCTGCTTCAAGTAATGTAGCCTACATAAATCAATAGAGTCAGTGTTACAAGATTATTGCTTCTGCTCCTCTGCCATACTGAAACTGATTAAACTTCTGTATATGGAATACATAATTTTGAAACTGAATGAAGCCTCAGTCTGGCCTATAACAAGAACTAAATGTTATGTCTTTGTGTGTTACAGTGTGTGCTAAAGAGTCTCGTAGCTATCTTGTAAGCTTTACACTGATGGATTTCTGTATTTTTTGGACAAATGTCACAACTTAACACTTTGAAAGACAGATCAGAAAATCAGAGTAAATGCCATTACTTTTCCTGTGGGGAAGTGAGCCTACTTCTCACTTCTTGCTAAACAGTTTCCTAATGAGTTTATGGTCTCAATTGCTAGTTTGAAGTCTCCGTCCATACAACATCAGGTTCATTATGGTCCAATTAGAGTAAAATAGACAATAAAGCAGGGTTTGCTTTATGTGACTGAGAAGTCCAGGCCCAGTCCTAACCAATTTGGCGCCCTAGGCAAGATTTTAAGTGGCGCCCCCCTTGCATCGCAGTAAATTCTACTGCCAGTTATATACATACATATACTCACGAAAGAAACTGAATAGCTTTGTCTTTGACATTTTCTTTTAGTTTTAGAGAAACAAGTTGCTCAATCAAAACAGT